GTTTAACACAATAATATTAAAACATTACTCTTTAGCACAGTAATATTAACACAACAAAAATAACTATTATTGTTTAATACAATTAAATTAATATGTTGACCGTTCAACAAAAGCAAACATAAAAGCCAAAAAAAAATATTGATGTGGTTGACAGTAAAATTACTATAAACCACATGCAACGGCATTAATATTATTAGGTTGACCGATCAACAAAACTAAAAATTAAAGAAAAAAAGACAATATTGATGTAGTTTACAATAGTAGTATTATATTTACAATAATTGTAACGTCAAATTATTTATCCGAGGGGTCTACCTCATATCAGTTTTCCAATTGAGAGAGTGCTGCTAATTTTCCCAAAATATTAACTTCATGCGCGTCAAAACTTTGAATACTTGACTTTTCTTTGCAATGATTGAGGAAAAATAAAATACTGAAGAATGTAAAATGAAATCAGAAATAAATTTAAGCGAAGAAAATAGTTGAATTAATATCCAAAGGGTGGGGACCACCAAATGTTCCGTAAAAGTCCTTCCTAGTTGCTTCGTCTATTAATTCATTCCACCAAACTAAAGAGATAAACGCAAATAAGGCCAACGTAAAAAAAGAAAAAATACACAACTATTCAAATGTCTCTCTATGCTTACATTCTTCTGTTCTTCATCCAACTTGTTGTACTAGTATTCGCAAGCAATGATTGTACGCCGACGAGATGCAGACGGAACGGCCCCGCGATTCGGTTTCCGTTCCGACACAAACATCGGCAGCCTCAAAGCTGCGGCTACACGGGTTTCGACGTCGATTGTGACCATAACAACAACACCGTGCTCGTGCTTCCGTCCTCGATTAACGTCAATGTTAAGAATATTAACTACGCATCCCAAACGATCCTCGTCTCTGTCCAGGAACATTGTTTTCCACAAAAGCTACCTCGTCTCAACTTATCTGCCTCCCCTTTCCATTTCTTTAACCCAGAATACTTAGCTGATTACATTGTTTTTAATTGTTCTACTCCCGAACGAAGTGTTTTAGGTATGGTGATTACTTGCCTCAGCGATTCTAAATACAAATTCTATGCCTTCAATTCTAACTTTTCAATGGAATCATTTCCTTTGACTTCTTGCACAAGAACTTGTGAAATTTTATCTGCTCCTTGGTATGTTTTTCATAAGAATGAGTTTTACTTGGAGTGGTCTGATCCAAGTTGTAACTATACGAAATTTGATAGTATTCAGTGTCCCGACAAACTACCGACCGAAACTCGAGGTAATTAATTGTCTCGCCTCCTTCATCGTTTAATTGGAATTATTACACATTCTAAAATGGAGCTGAATATTTATATTTTGCTCCTGTTTGTTAATTACAGGAGCACCAAAGAAGCAACGAAAGAAGCAACTGATTACAGGTGAACTTTTTTCGTCGGTTTTCGATTTGTTTTTTTGTTTATTTTTAAATGGGTTTTGGCTTGAATTCTAACTTATGAATTATGTTTCAAAGGTTTTGGTTGCTTTCTTGCCGCGATAATACTCGCAGCTCTCGTTTATCTTGGTATCAGATTTAGAATTGGCAGAGAGAATCAAATCAAGATTGAAAAGTTTTTGCATGATTACAGAGCCCTTAAGCCGAGTAGATTCTCTTACTCTGATATAACAAGGATGACTCATCAATTTCGCCATAAATTAGGTGAAGGGAGTTATGGAATTGTATACAAAGGAAAGTTGAACAATGAAATAAACGTTGCAGTTAAAGTACTCAACAATTCCAAGGGAAACGGGGAGGAGTTTGTGAATGAAGTAAGTACCATTGGGAGAATACACCACGTCAACGTTGTCCGCCTTGTTGGCTTTTGTGCCGATGGATTTCGAAGAGCTCTTGTTTATGAATTCTTGCCAAACGGTTCTTTAGAAAAGTCCATTTCCCAAGAGGGTTCGAATAGAGTTTCTCTTGATTGGGAAAAGCTAAAGGATATTGCATTGGGCGTAGCAAGAGGCATAGAATATCTACACGAGGGATGTGATCAACAAATACTCCATTTCGACATAAAGCCGCAAAACGTCTTGTTGGACCACAACTTCAACCCGAAGATATGCGATTTCGGTCTTGCGAAATTGTGCTCAAAGGAACAAAGTGCAGTGACAATGACCGCGGCTAGAGGAACAATGGGGTATATTGCACCTGAAGTACTCTCGAGGACTTTCGGGAGGGTTTCGTATAAGTCCGATGTTTATAGTTTCGGAATGGTGTTGCTCGAAATAGTTGAAGGGGCGAAAAATGTAGATACTAACGCGGATAACACTAGCAAGGTATATTTTCCTCAATGGATTTACAATCATATAAGTGTTGGGGATAATCATTTTTGGGCACAAATTGATGAAGAAGGAAATAGTATAGCAAGGAAACTTAGTATAGTAGGGTTGTGGTGTATACAGTGGTGTCCGACGGATCGTCCGTCAATGAAAGTTGTGGTTCAGATGTTGGAAGGAGAATGTGACGATCTCACAATGCCTCCGAATCCGTTTCCAGCTGCAAATTCTGTTCCGGAAAGTTATTACGAAGCGGAGTTGCCGATCATATTAGAATTGGAGTGAAGACTAGTTATACCGAAACTTAGGAACCATGTAGAAAAATTATATTTATCACGTGCTTGTTATTTTTTTTTTCAATGTTGCTATATTTATTATATAAGGCTTGCTTGAATCATTAAACATGTCTTTGTGCTCCGTCATAATTAAAATCAGAAAATCTTTGGGCAGCCTGTGAGTTATATTTTGATGGATCTGCTGTTACTGTATTAGCAATGAATAATATCTATTCTATATTTAGGAGTAACGTGAATATGCTAAAATGCCAATGAGATGTAATTTCATTAGTACTAAACATAACTTTTTTTTTTTCCAGATAAAAAGTTTCTCTCCTTTACTTAAAAAAATGGCAAATTACAAAAAAAACCCAGATGTAAAGTCTAATTACAAAAACCATCCTCATGTTTGTGTGATTATGAAAATCCCCCTTTAACCGGTGCTTGACGGTTTAAATTTACAAAAAAATGCGTTCTGTCAGTTTTACTCTTCTGTTATTTGAAAAAAAATAATGGGTAAATTACAAAAAACCCCTCATGTAAAGTATAATCACCTCGGAAATTGTGTTGAAACAAAGCAGCTGACTTTGTTTTTGTTTGTATTCGATGAACGGCTGCGACTTAGAGGAGGAAACCAATAGTGTCTATCTCATCACCAACTCCCACTATATATCGCCAAGCTCTTCTTAATCCAACTGGCGTATGGTCATGCTTGACGAATACACTGCATTGATTAAAAATAACACATGGAATATTGTGCCTCGCCCCTCTACTACTAATGTCATCACAGGCAAAAAGTTGTATAAACAGAAACTGCAGGCTAATGGTTCATTGAACAGTATAAAGCGCGATGGGTTGTTCATGGTTTTGATCAACGTCCTGGTATTGATTTCAACGAAACATTCATCCCGGTGGTAAAACCAGCAACTGTTCGGACAGTTCTCAGCATTGCTACCTACCTCAGGCCCCTGGCCAGTCCGTCAACTCAACGTTAAGACTGCATTCATCCACGGCAAACTCTCTAAAACAGTGTATTGCAAGCAGCCACCAGGTTTTGTTGACCCTACTCGTCCCACTCATGTATGTCGTCTCCCAAAGGCTCTTTATGGGCTCAAACAGGCACCACGTGCGTGGTACGAGCGGTTTTCCAGCTACATATCTCTCTCGGGTTTATCGAGTGCAAATCGGACACCTTCCCCTTTATTTATCGCACTGGTTCCTCAGTTTTTTATCCCCTACTGTATGTTGACGACATTGTTCTAACAACATCCAGTACAGTCACTCTTAAGTCCATCATTACCAAACTCAACCAAGAATTTGTTGTGAAGTACCTCGGCCCCCTACGTTACTTTCTTGGCATATTTGTTGCGCGCTCGCCCCAGGGGATGGTCCTCTCACAACGTAAATATGCCAAGGAGATCCTTGAACGCGCTAAGATGACTTAATGCAACCCGATGGCACGGGAATTTACTCTTGATGGGCTAAAAAAACCCATGGCCCCATATAGCGAGGAAGAGATAGCTATGGTGGAGGCATCTCGCCTTGACGTATTGGAGCATTGTTACATACGCAATGTGGATAAGGGCCTTTTGGCATGTCAAGATCTGGCAGCCTGACACGAACTGTTACACATGCCTTGGGGCAAAATGACGATCACGTTGCATAATGTACAGATAATCCTGGGTTATGTGTGGACAGGCTGGCAGTCGACAGTAATTTTGCGGGCGAGAGAGCGGGCAGTGTGAGCTGCAGTTAGCAGAACTTCTGAATCCCGATCTAGATGATGCCTATGAGTATTTTAGGGGTGTTGAATTCCTTGGACGGAGATTCGCGAACGGGTGCTCCAAGAAGATGGGACCGGCAAACAGATGGTCATTCGCAAACGGGGGCCTCATGAAAATATATGTCTCGATATAAATACCCGGAAACTTCACAATCAAAGGTACGCGATTCATACATCCTGAGCAGTCTCTTGAATTCTTTGAATTCTTCTATCATACAAAGCTGACTTGAGCGTCGGAGGGATCAAGAAGTGCGAGAGAGAAATTGCAAAACGTGACGTGGAATCGTACCACATCACACCCATTGACGAATTATAGCAGAATACACTAACTAAATGCGTACCATACACATCTAGAATTAAGAGATTAAAGTAATTATATGATAAGGCCTCGTTTGGTTGTCAAGATAAAATTAGCCTAGATAAGATTAATAATTTAATGGAACTCGATTATATTATTGGACCTTCGATGATCCAAAAAACATGCCTATAAGGCAAGATAAGCCATGATAACATAATATTTGCAAGTCGATCCGGCAAATTATTAGGGATACCAAACATCTAACAAAATTCTATTATTTAGTTAATGATGGCTAATCTCCCCAACCAAACGAGGCATAAGTAGTATAAATAATAGAATTATTTTGTTCCTAATAAACGATTATTTGACTTTGTGTGTTTCAGTACATACTAAATATGCTAGCACACTAATTAAAACAATAAATTCACTATTTTAGCCATAAAGATCTCTCGGCTAGATGCAAAACCAATATTGTTTCTAAACTCGAAGTTATTTCAGAAATCAAGGTTATGAGCCATGCATTGTGTGAAATACATTCACATGAATGTTTCAACAGAAAAAAATAAATTAAAATTACATATGACTTAAGAGGGAGGAAGTTTTAGGGGTGTATGAATCATTAACCTCATATCCTCCGTCATTTGTTGTGGAGAAGTGAACTCATCACCACTACCAGACGAGTACAAATAATAACCGATTTTGCACGTCTCCGAGAACAAATCTTTGCATCTTCTAGGAAGAACACTTCCTCTTTGATAAACCATTCTCAACAGTTTTCTCCTGTTGTACTCTACCAATTTTCCTATCTCCGAAACGACCATCTCTTCATCTTTATCACGAGCTTCGTTTAGAATGCTCACTGCATTTAACTTCTTTTCTTCTTTCTCCTTCTGTCGGTTAAAGCAATTTTACATTACTCAAGTTCCGAATTACAACCACTTTAATTTTTAACTTTTTTTATTCCCCGAGAATTTCTCTAGTAAACATATTAAGTAATGATATTGTCGCAACTAGTATGTACCTGAAAAGATTGAAGATCGTTCAATAGACGGTTGACCGTGCTAACATGTATGCACAAGTTAGTACATTCTTCACCCAAAATCATGTCGTCGGATAATCTTATACCCATGAAATGGATGGAAGTGAGAATGCAGATTCTGCAACCGATTGACACCCAAGCAAAAGACAAGTACTCGTCCAAGGTCATTGCAGCATCGTCGCACCATGTGTCCAATTCTCTAACGAAGCTTGTAAGAATTTGAACCCACTGCTCAAATTAGAAAAAAAACATTACATTAGTAACTCCATAATCACTTCACCCTCATTTGGTTGGGGAGATTAGCTATGATTAACTAAATAATTGGACTTTGTTTGATTTTTGGTACACACAATAACTTCCAGGGTCGACCCGCAAATATTCTGTTATCATGGTTTATCTTTGTCTTTTAGTGAGTTTCTTTGTTGGACCTTCCACCGTCCAATAATACAACTGGGTTTAGTTAGATTATTTAATCTTATCTTGGCTACCAGACGAGGCCTTAATAAAGTAGACTGTTTAAATAATGCAATTAGTACCAGGTTAATTAGATGATGTTTAACACAACGGCCTTGCTCGACAGAAGCCTTTTCTGCCAACTCGTTTACGGTTCGGTACACCGCGGAAAAGAGTATCTCAACTTCTTGCGAACCATAATCTACAGCTGGCTTCTCCTTCCACCTATTATTCTTCCGTGAGATTTGTACGATATAGTGTGTACTCGAAATATACAGTTAACCTATTAAAAAAAGAAAAGAAAAAAAAACATAAGGAAAAACATAAGGAATAAGAAACATACTCTTTTACTAATTCTAGGATCTTGTGTGATTCTTCTCTAGAACCGTGATGATCGAAAAAATCATCGATACGTGTTACAAGCACAACATGTTTGGCGTAGGACATTCGAGCATCAACCAATTGCGGATCGCCAATAACTGTTGATGCGATAAAATGAGCAACATGTAGTACATTTCGTCCGTAGTTCAACCGGTCCAACCCACAATCTTTGTACCACCTGTATACATATATAGTTGATATTTTTTTGTTGAATAATAAATTAATGTATTTTGCCCTTATTGTGGAGGTACCTCTCTAATTGCTGAAACTCTTTCTGGTGTAAAGCTTGGCAATGATTAAAATCTTGCCGCGCGAATACGAGAAAGTCTTGGTTATATATTGTGGGGCACCTATTTCGCGGAGAGGAAACAAATATTTTGTTAAAAAAAAAAACCGAGACGTGTGCATGACAATGTTGGAATGTTTCTTTTTACCTATACGCGGTTTTCATAATTTGGTAATTATCCACGTCGTATAGATCAAGGCTTCGTCTATTTCCAACTCGTCCTAGTATGCCGTGGAAGTTCTTCAACTCGTATTCCACCTTATAATATTGACAACAGCTATTACATTTTGATAATTACTAAACGGTGAGTACGTACGCAAACACAAACGTAGCTATTACCTTTTTTTGCAATTTCTTGTCAAAAATGGTTTCACTACGCAACTGCTGCTTCAGAAATTTGCTGGTCCAATCATTTATAGCGTCGAGAGTTGTTTCTTCTTCGTGTATTGATATATGCGATGCTCGGTAAAGCTCAAGAACCGTACTCACGCCGGTCGTTTCTAGGTTAACGTGATCTTGCTCGGCATATGGAGCCAATTCATCTGAACCAATTAATTAACTTTATTATTCGGTGCACATATATCAGACTGAAAAACCAACAACACGTACGCCACATGCAAAAGTACCCGACGAGACTTCAAATCCTTTGATCCGCAATAGTCTAAATGCCACGGCACAACAAGTAATGTCTGTGAAAATCTCTTCTTCTTTCCGTTTCCATAGTCTGAGCGATCACACACCGGTATTTTATTGTACACGGGAGGAGCATTAATTGTTGTTATAATATGTATCAAATATATATTAATATATATGTTACAGTGATGTCTTCTTTTATTTTTGGTTACGTCATCCGTTCCACAGTATCTGTCACTTTTGAGGATTTTTTTTCTTCATATTATCTGTTACTTTAGAATTACAATACTGCATTAACTCCGTAATTATAAAATGTATCCCTATTATATATGTCCAACACCCTATCTTATAAATTAGTGGCAAGGGCATTTTAGTCTAAGGTGGTGTTTGCAAATGATTATTTAAAAGCAGAAGTTAGTGATTGTGATTTAAGTTAGTTTTAAGTGCTTATTTCTAAAAGTTGGGGGTGTTTGCAAATATTTCGAAAAATGAACTAACATTGAAAAAGCAGGTTAGGGGTGCTTTTAAAAAAATAGCTTAAAGCAGATAAGTTTAAGAGAAGCAAAAGCAAAAGTTGATTTTGCAAACACCTTAAAACAGATTATGAGCAAAAAAAACCGCATAATCACTTTCAAAAAGCATTTGCAAACTTAGGTGGTGTTTGCAAATGATTATCTAAAAGCAGAAGTTAGTGATTGTGAGTTAAGTCATTAAGTGTTTATTTCTAAAAGTTTGGGGTGTTTGCAAATATTCCGAAAAAAATGAATTTAAATAGAAAAAACAGGGTTAGATGTGCTTTTAAAAAAAATAGCTAAAAGCATATTATTTTAAGAGAAGCAAAAGCAAAAGTTGATTTTGCAAACACCTGAAAACAGATTATGAGTAAAAAAAAGCTCATAATCACTTTCAAAAAGCGTTTGCAAACACCACCTAAGAGCATACATCTTTCTAAATTCAAGCAGCCACTTGTGCAAAGCTACAAAAAAGACTGTGAAAAATGAACGGAAAGAGTAATTTTTTTTTTAACATTAAATTACCTGTATGTTTCATCAAGAATAATGTCGATTTCGTATTGAAGGTATCGATCTATTCCCAACTCTTGGATGGTATCGACGAGGCAGAGACGAGTGTATATTTCCAATGGATAAACAGTGGGCACTGCCAGAGATTTCAAAATACTACTTCAAAATGATTTTCTTTTTCCCAAAAATCGTAGACCAATAAAATCTTCTCGCATCAGAACATTTATATTATATTTTTTTTTTTCGAGTAGTTCATCTAAAGTGATTATCAACTTATATTTCTCTCGCACAACTCAGTTAATTATTAAGTTATCTTACGAAAGAGCTTTATAGTTAAGCTCTTATAACACAAACAAATATATAGTAGTCCATCTTTGTTCTAGATCACCATATTTTTTTCTCGCAATTTTCTTTTTTAGTTGATTGCATTCAATACCCCTGTGGAAATCCTACTTGGCATTTTTTATTAATTAGTCCACCCAAAATCTAAATTAATGGAAAAATACACTACTATTTTTTTTTCTTTTTTTTTTCTTCCTATTTCTGATTTTGTTACAAAAAAGTTCTAATTTTTTATTTCCGGAGGCGCTACCCACAAACACCCAAAAATTTACGTCCACCATGTAACAAATTTTGGATTCGCCATTGCCCCTATGTTAAATGGTCAAAAGTATCCATATTCCTCATTGCAGATCGTGTGTTTTACTTGCTTTTTATGCAAACTTGAATATTGGAGGGGTTTCGTCAGCCATATGCAATATATTGTACAATTGGACGTAATAAAAGAAAATCAAAAGTTCATGGCCTAAAGTGTGTGTGTGTATATATATATATATATTGATAGAATTTACCCCAATTCTTGAATGTTTTGAGAAGCGACTGTAAGTATTCGAAGCACTTATCGTTGTCTTGACCGTGAATTAGAGCAGCTGCAGTAGTGGCCGGCGAATTGAAAAGTGAACCGTTATTTCTTTGTATATATATATATATATATATATATATATATATATATATATATATATATATATATATATATATATATATATATATATATATATATATATATATATATATATATATATATATATATATATATATATATATATATAAATTAGTATAAAGATCAAGGATATATTACATTTATCTGTTTAGGTCTCATTTGGTTAAGGTGATTAGTCATGATTAACTAAATAATTGGACTTTATTTGATTTTTAGTTTCCTGTCGGGTCAACCCGCAAGTATACGTTATCATGGTTTATCTTGCCTATTAGGCATGTTTTTTTATTGGATCTTCCATAAAAAAGTAAATGTTGGGAGTAAGAACTTTCATTAGATTATTTAATCTTATATTGACTAATCTTATCTTGACAACCAAACGAGGACTAATATATATATATATATATGTATATATATATATATGTATATATATATATATATGTATATATATATATATATATGTATATATATATATATATATATGTATATATATACATACTAACCTTATAATTTGGGAGTAAGGACTTTGAAATATAGAATCAAGTAAATGTTGGTCAAAAGGCAGAGTAAGGTCCATTTCATTAGCATAGGTGATCATCATAGGGAAAATAATATTGAAACCAATTGGAGAAATTTGATCCTTGTCGCTAGCTGCCCAACTATTCGCTCTTATGAATTCCAATCCTGGAAAACAATTAATAAACAATCAATTTCACAACTAAGCTTGCTTATTATTTAGTTGGGTGAATTGCAACTACCTCCCTGAGTAACATCTATTTACAAAAAAACCCTTCATTTTTCAAAACTTACGTCCAACTCCATGCAGTTTGTAAATTCTTATATCCACACCCTACAAAAGGGTGTTAACATTGTAAGAAATATACAAATTGTAGGGGTATAAGTAATTATGGAAACATGAAGGAGTTTTCGTAAATAGCCGTTATCTCGGCCAGATTCCGACGTTGACTTTTTTTTTTTTTTTTTTTTTGAAAACCTTTTTTTTTCCTGAAATTTTTTTCCGGCCGGTCAACAACCGTTGACCGCCAGCGTTGACTCCTTTTTTTTTTTTCTTAGAAAAAAAATATTTTAATTAATATTACTGTCTTGGCTACTAAATTACTGTCTCAGACAGTAATATTACTGTTTGGGACAGTAATATTATGAATATTATTTTTTCGAACAGTAATATTATTAATATTATTGTCTAAGACATTGAAATTACTGTTGGAGACAGTAATTTAGCAGCCAAGACAGTAATATTACTTAAAATAATTTTCTTTAAGAAATTAAAAAAAAAAAAAAAAAAAGTCAAATAACAGTTAAATTACTGTATCCGACAGTTAAATAACTGCTGGAGACAGTAATTTAGCAACAGATACAGTAATATTATTTAAAAATATTTTTTTAAGAATAAAAAAGTCAATTAACAGTTAAATTACTGTCTCCGACAGTTAAATAACTACTGGAGACAGTAATTTAGCAACGAATACAGTAATATTAATAAAAAATATTTTTGTAAGAATAAAAAAGTCAATTAACAGTTAAATTACTGTCTCCGACAGTTAAATAACTGCTGGAGACAGTAATTTAGCAACGAATACAGTAATATTAATTAAAATAATTAAAATATGTTTTTCAGAAAACACAAAAAAAAAAAAAAAAAAAGTCAACGCCGGTGGTCAACGGCGGCGACCGGCAGTCTCCGATGGTGGCGGGTCAAAATTGAAATTATGGTTAAAATTGGTTAATTGATGAAATTGGGCTAAATTGGGGTGTAAATCATGAAATTGGAGTTGAATTGGGTTTCAATGAATTGAGGGTAATTTTGGTATATATAAAATGATTTTCCTTATTTGCAAATAAGTTTGAATGGGCTGGATTTATTTGAAAGACAAAAAAGTTGGATATCGCTCTTTTAATTAAATGCCCTTGTTATAGGCCTATTTGCCATTTACCCTGATGTTTTTTCTGAATTTTTTTTTCCATCTAGTTTTTGACATTAACATTTTTCTAATGATTTTTTTAAAAAGTATTTTGTTCCTAAATTATTGTGTTAACAACAATATTACTGTTTCAGACAGTAAATATTGAAGGCCAAAACTCTAATATATATTAACACAATAATATTACTAATATTAATGTCTTGGACAAAACCGAGACGATAAAATTAATTAATACATTATAATATTGTTCTGTTAACAACAATCTGTCTTGGACAATAATATTGCAGTTAGAACGATAATATTAATACTGACACAGTAATTACTGTCTTTGACACCAATATTAATATTTGAGACAGTAATATTGCACGCCAAGATAGTAATATTGATGAAAATAGTTTTTCGAAAAAAAGAAAGAAAAAAAAGTCAATGTGGCGGGAAAAAAAATTCACAAAAAACACCAGTTTTCGAAAAAAAAGAAGAAGAAGAAAAAAAGTCAATGCCGTAGACCGGCGGTGGCGGTCAAAATTGGTTAATTGGTGAAACAAGTACTAAATTAGAGTTTAAATCATGAAATTGAAATTGAATTAGAGTTCAAGGAGGTGGGGTAATTTTAATTTATATAAAAGAGTTTTCCTTATTAAGAAATAAGTTTAAATATGATGTATATATTTATTATTTACAAGATAAAAAAGTAGGATGTCCCAAAATTTAATATATGTATTAAAAAATGTTATAATGGAATAAATACAAAAAATATTTAAATATACCTTTGTGGAGTTGTTGGTGGGCGACGTTCCATTTGCGGAGGGCAAGCAAGCATGCGAGTGTGCAAGAAAGAGAGTGTTTGACCAGAGATGGATGACCCGGATCCATACCCCATGACCCATCCGGGTTCTGGTTTTCAAAGATCCAATCCAAGCACTGCGGGAAACAGCCGGAATATTCCCTCGCCGGCACCATAGCCACCCACGCCGTGTCGTATGCAGACGGAGATATCTCAACCTTTCCATTTGTAATCCTCTCTCTTATTTTTCCAATTGATTTTTGTAAACTCTACATTACAAGTTAGTTAATTAAAAGAAAAAAAAAAGGAATGTTATGATTGATTACATGTACTTACTGTTGAGTTATTAAGGCTACTACATCTGACAGTACTTGAAGTTCCATTGTCTGAGAAAGGGAAAACTGAAAGCTTCAACCTCAGCTGTGACATTTTGTGTTGGATAAATTTGATGGATCTTATGTTCAGGCAACAATTATTATATTGTCTAATTAATCTTTGGTTATAAATTAAGAATCTCAACTGATGGGACAAAAACCTTAATAAATATATGGCCCATTATTTTAAATTTGCCACGAGTCTGGTACGTGAATTATTTTTCTATATTATTATTGACACCCGCGATCTAGTTTCAGTGATGGTCTAGAGAAAATCAAAATTCAAGATTTTAATATGTATTGTTTAATAGGCTCTGTTTGGCAGGATAATATATTTTTTTTAGAAGAGTTGGGGAAGTCAACATAAATAAACTAAGGATTAGAATATCAGCCTTTATTAGTTGTATGAGAGAATATAATGTCAATTAAAATAAGGGTTTATTAGGGATAACCCCCTTGTTCATATTTTCTAATGAGGTAGATCCAATTTTTTTTCCTCTTTTTGAGATAGATCCAATTTTGCCAACTTGGCAAAATATATTATATAATTTGCCTTTAATACCCCTGTTTTATTTTTAAACGGCATTTATTTCCTTTACTACGTGATTTGAGATTTGCTGATAAGTTGCCTAAAATCACGGAATAAATTACGTGAGATCATTGGCCGTTATATCAAATCTTGTACAATATTTTTCGAAGGTTCTCTTCAGCGTTCCAGCGGTTTTTTATCGTCTTTGAAGATTTCTGCACCGTCGTTGAAATATGATCGAATTTGAGCGTTCGTTGTTGGACGTTGTTAACCGGGTATGAATGCGTTATTCGTTTTTATTTTTCGCTCAATGTCTAGGATTGTCGATTACGGTGGTTAGAAATTTTTAAGAGTTGTGTTGTTACTTGATTCTATTAAGTAGAACGTTTTTTAACAAAATTATTCCGTCATATATACATCGTTATTTTTTGGCGGATGATGTTTGTTTGGAAGAGGATTGACAGAGTTAGATGAGGATGGTTCACGCATATCGGACCAGAGTTGTTTTATATGAACATCGTAGTTGGTTTACGCATTAATTGAAATAACTGTCCGCTGTCGTGGAGTTCATGAGTCTGATCCCGGTCGATAGTTGGTTTATTTGTTTATAACAGCGGATTTTAGGACGCTGGGTAGTACATTAAAATATATTTCGTAGTATTTTTTAAGTTATCGTATGAATTTTGCATTTTAAGTTTATTTTTGATCATATTAATATATTTTTTAGTATTCTGCATTTTTAATGTCGTATCATGATTCAAGGTTTTTATCGATGGCGAATTTTGTACGGATCTTGTTGAGATTTGGTGGGTTGGTTGCTATAAAGAGGTGTTCGAATCGTGTACATTTTTTTTTTAAGATTTATCCAGCGTTCCATCGTTTTAATCGCCTTTGAAGATTTCTCCACCGTCAAGCGGGTATGAATGCGTCTTTTTTCGCTTTTATTTTCGCTGTATGTACAGGATTGTCGTGTACGGTGGTTAGAACATTTTTAAGAGTTGTGTTGATACTTGATTCTATGAATTAGAACGTTTTTTAACAAAATTACGTCGTCATATATACATCGTTATTTTTTGCGGATGATGTTTGTTTGGAAGATGATTGACAGAGTTAGAAGAGGATGGTTCACGCAGATCGGACCAAAGTTGTTTTATATGAGCTTCGTAGTTGGTTTATGCAATAATCGGAATAATTGTCCGCTGTGGTCGAGTTCATGTTTTTGATCCCGATCGATAGTTGGTTTATTTGTTTATAACAGCCGATTTAAGTGTGCTGGGTAGTACATTAAAATATAGTTCGTAGTCTTTTATAAATTAGCGTATGGATTTTGCATTTTAAGTTTATTTTTGATGATATTAATGTATTGTCATTCAAATGTATTTGCAGTTTATTTAATCATTTTTTAGTATTCTGCATTTTTAATTTTGTTTCATGATTTTAGGTTTTTTCGATGGCGAATTTCGTACGGATTTTGTTGAGGTTTGGTGGCTTGGTTGCTATAAAGAGGTGTTTACGATGTAATGGCTCGGTAACTTCGGTTAAGTTTTAAACCGTTGTAATACAGTAGTATACTATTATGAATACCGTATGATACTACCATTATCATTTTATTATACTATTATGAGATTATTAATGTACTAGAGTTTTTTAACTCGACATATTGGTTTGATTGTGTTATGATGTGCTTTATGTATTTTATCAAAACCCTAGATTGAAATTATGGGATTATTAATGTACTATTTTATGGGTTATGTTGGAATACTTTACGTTGGTGTTGTTCTCAATGTTCTTGTCATTTCAGTGGTATATTGTTTGTAACACAATTCATATCACTACTATAACCGTAATATACTATCATAGCAGATCAATGTACTATATTGAAATTATTAATATACTATGTGGTTGAATAATACGGGATCCATAGTCGATTAACGAGATCCATAGTCGAATTAGATCAATAAGATAGTCTATTACATGATATAAGGAAAATTACCCTAATTGATTAGTATTTCAAACAAACATATTATTCAGTTTCCATATATATTATTATTTTTTCATATATATTATTATTTACCTTAATCGTTTTCATATAATAAGGAAAATTACCCTAATTGATTAGTATTTCAAACAAACATATTATTCAGTTTCCATATATATTATTATTTTTCCAATAGTCAATTAACTAAACCCATAGTCGAATTAGATACATGGGATAGTCTATTAAAAGATATGAGATAGTCTATTAATTTTAAAACACAAATCCGCCGCCGTCACTTCTCAAATCTAGGGTTTTGATGATTCTTCGGCCCATAGTCGATTAACGAGATCCATAGTAAAATTATACCAGTGGGATAGTCTATTAAATGATATGGGATATAATACATATGTAAGTCGACTATGCATCTCGTTAATGAACTATGGGCCGAAGAATTATCAAAACCCTAGATTTGAGTAATCCTAGATTTGAGTAACCCTAGCTTGGAGCAGTGACGGCGACGGCGACGGCGGCGGCCAATGACGATATCACTTCTGGTGAATGTCCTGCCCATCAATTGTTGCAATATCACTGATTTAGTGCTCGAATTCGGTATGCGATTATAACAGACCTGCAATTACACAAAGGTGATAGTCGATTTAGCCAAAACATATCAACAAATCGATGGATGATAGCGATTCAGCGAGTGGCGACGACGTACCTACGACAGCTTGCTCGGAGTGCACGAAAATCGTCGTTTCACGGCAGTGCAGACGTCTTCCCCTTTCAATCGGCCGTACCGGGAAGTTGCTCTGGGAGGTTTTGCAGTTTATTCGATAGTGGGTTTGGGATGATAGTGATTTAACGGGAAAATAGGAAGATATTTGATTTTATTTCAAAAGGTAAAGTAACGAGTTTTGTGGGATTTGATTGAGGGTAATTATGTAATTAGGAAAAGTTTGGGCTATTATCAAAATGGCAAATATAAATTTGGGTCTACCCCTATTATTTGAATATTTAAGGGGGTTATATCTAATAGACCCTTAAAATAATGATAAGCATGGAACATACAAAATATTTTTAAACAATTCTGACCCAACAACAATTAAATAAAGAAGAGAGACAAAAGATGGCTAACAATTAGGTCTCTTATATAATACTACTATAGTTTAATTTCTTAAATAATGGTGTAATTTATTGGATTGTAGATCCCCACTCAACATATATAATTGTCTAGTTGACGATAAACAATAAACTTAATTATATGATTTCAATATTTTAATTTCGATGCAATTCAATTATCAGAAATCTCAAAACATTAAAGTATTAGATATGTTTGTTGGCTTTTCAACTCAACTTCAATCACTAATATTTGAGTTCATTTAAAATGGTTAGGGTAAATAGCATTTGACCATCTGTGGTTATTATTAGCGTAACAACCACCTCCGCTAGTCTTGGGAAGTCGTTTCCTGAGTTCTCTTTTATTCAGTTAATTTTGTTCCTATTCTCACGTTCCTCATTGTTTTAAGTTGAATATCTTTCCTATTCTCTAGGAAGATCTATTGTAATCTTATCTTTATCACTTGTATATAAGGATAGGTGTTGTACATCAATAAATATCTTTTATGAGAATCTGTAACATCTTTATGGTATCACAACCTTCTAAACTACTCCTACGAGTAAGATCCTAATTTTTTTTTCTCACACCAATTCCATGGCTGCCACCACTCCCACCACAAATCCCATTATTCAATTCAATCCCGCATCTCAACTTCCCATCAAACTCATTGGCAGCCAAAATTTTACCACATGGAAAGCTCAAATAGCTATGCTGATGCACGACCATGACCTGTATGGTCATCTCGACGGCACCACTCCAGCCCCATCTCGAACAATCACTCAAACTACTGGCGAAATCACCAATCCTCAATACAAGATCTGGTTTCGACAAGATAAACTCATCCAAAACGCCTTAATGGCATCAGTTGATCCAACCATTGCCTCCACTGTTGCTGGTGCAACCTCGTCAAAACGAGCATGGGATTCTCTGCACACATTGTTTGCAAATAAATCGCAAACACGCATATTTAGTCTTCGCCATCATCTTACCAAAATTTCAAAAGATGCCAAATCAATTGCCGAATATCTCAGAGAAATACGATCTGTTGCAGATGAACTTGCAACTGCCGGTTCGCCGATTTCTAATGAAGAACTTATCGTAAAATTCTAAGTGGTCTTGGTCCTGAATTTCGGGAAATTTCCGCAGCCATACGAGCTAGAGACACTCCAATTACTTTCGAAGAGCTCTTTGATAAATTGTTGGACCACGAACTCTTCATAACACATGAAGACCTGAAAAAGACGTCGGTTAATATTACTGCTGCTGTTGCTCAGAAGAACAATACTCCTGCCTACTCGAGAAATAATCGGCGACCCAATACCAACCAACCATGGCGTCAAACCCCGGCCCGAGACTCTGCCTCCATGGCTCCAAACATGCAGCAACAGTGGCGCTCGTTCCACAATTCAACTCAACCTTCTCGAGTAAAGTGCCAACTGTTAAGTGTATATATTTACACTTTATCGTATC